CCAAATATTTCTATTTAGTTCCCCCTCCCCAGTGTTTGTGTTTAGACTCAAAACATTTATAATAACAACATTTACCATCATAATAAAAAATACTTCTGTGTATATGAGCTCCCATAACCCCCTGGGCAGCCCTATTCAGTAGTGGTTATCTATTGGTGTCTGGTAGGCGGCCCAGGAAATGATGCTCCAGAGTCCGTGCCGCGGACGGTGTTTTTTCTTTTTAGCACACATGAAGTTTCTCCTTTCAAGTTTTCAAATTTTCGGTTTACTTTTCAGCTCTTTTCAGCTAAAGTGATGGGGGACCCCTTCCTCGTGGAGGAGGTGGGCCTGCGTGCGCTCAGGTCTGCTTCGGACGAAGGGCAGAAACAAGGCCAAGATTTCCATGCATTGCTCCTGGAGACGTTTTCGAAACTTCTGGAACTCCTGACCCTCCGTCACCGGCTGATAGAAATGAGTGTGGAGAGTGCATACTTGGCTCGGTCAGTGGGGACAGGAGCTTCATGGAAGGACTTGGGGACTAAATATGAGAGTCCGGGGCTCACTGTCTCCAACCCTGCCCTTTACTCCCTGGAGCAGCTAAGCAGAAATGTTCTCCTCCTCTCCTCCGGGCCTCCCCATGAGCCTCTGACCAGTCATCTGGGCAGGAGTCTCCCAGTGGTACCCACCCATTCTTTCCAGTCAGCGCACGTCATTTTTGCTCAGATGCTTAATACTGGTTTATCAGCTTTCCAACACAAAATCCCCGCCAGGCTGTTTACCATGATATCCCCTGACCTGGGATCTTAATCAGTCTGTGCTATTGTAGCAGACTACCCGAGACTGGATCATTTATAAAGAATAGAGGTCTATTTCTGATAGTTCTGGATGTTGATAAGGTCATGGGGTCCACATCTAGTAAGAGCCTTCTTGCTACATCAGCCCAGGCCAGAAGACAGGTGGGCAATCGGGCATGCTCTTGCATATGCTTGTAGGTGGAGGTGGAGAGGAGGAGCAGGGGAGGCTGGAGAGGGGGGCAAACGGGTGTGATGTCCTGTCAGCAGGACCCACTTCCACAATAGCTGACCTGCTTCTTCACTAATGGCTGAGCCCTCACAATCAACCATCTCTTAAAATCTCTGTCAGCTACCCTTGTATCGGCGGTTACATTTCTAACACACACGCTTTGGGGGACATCCAAACCATAGCCCTGGAGGGTCTGAGCCACACCAGGCCCTCAGGATTTTGGCTGACTATTCTCCTGCATACAGTGAAGCTGCCTAGCCAGAGGGCCTGGAGACACGAGACTGTGTCAGTGGCAGCATCTGGGTCTGGAGAGGGATGGGGACTCAGCAGAGCAGGGAAGAGAGGTGCTAATGGAGTCTGTTTCGGTTTTCAGTAGGAGACGATGCTAAAACATCTCAAAGGAGGAGAATGGAGCTGGAGGGTTTGTTTCAAATCCTCATAGCGCTGCTCTGACTCCTGCAGGCATAGACAGTCTGTCCATCCAGCAGCCGCCACTAAGGATCTGCTTGATCACAGTCTTTGTGGGACTTTATGTGTATTATTTCCTTAAATTCTTAGACTCTCCTTATGAGATAAGTGCAAGAAAGTAGAGGGCCAGAAAAATTAAGTAATCAGCCCCAGGTCTCTGCATTAGGAAGCAGCAGAAACGGAAGCTGAGCTATTAGTCGAGTTTGCTACCTCTTGGACACTGCTCTCTACAATTTATGAGCCTCTCAGGAGCTAATAATGTAAAAATTACCCATAATACAGTATAATAATGATACTCTTCTCATTTGAAAAAATACTTCAGGAGCACAGCAAGGGGAATATTTCATTCTTTCTCAGTAGACCAGGGAAAGCATCATGGGAGTTGAAGCTATGAAGAGAACCTGCTCCCTCTAAAACTCCTGTGATCAAGAGCTGGCAACTTCAGATGGGAGAGTTTGTTCCAGAGATAGTCAGTTAAACTGGAGGTATCAGATCGGATCCTAATCCAATAGACCGTTGGACTCCTAAGAGTAACTTCAACACAGACCACACAGGGGATGGTGGGGGAAGGCACCATCCACAAGCTAGAGGGAGAGGAAGGGGGCAGCTCCCTCCTTCACAGCCCTAGAAGGAACCAACTTGCCCACATCTTGGTCTCAGAGCTGAGAGACAACGTGTTCCTGTTGTTTAGCACACGAGCACTTGATGGGTGTCTGCGGTACTTTGTGACAACCCTGGCACACTAACCCAGGTGCCAACTGAACCCAGTGTGAGAACTGGCTTAGACTGGAGGTGTCGGGAGGAAGGGAGAGAATCGTAGATGTTTAAGGCTGAGCTGCCAGAGGGACATCTGATCGGAGCTCAGCGGTGAATCGAGACGGGGCTGAGAGTCACAGATTCTTACATGAGGAAATGGTTCTAGGGACTGGGTCTAGCAGATGAGAAGAGGACCAGGGCTAGAACCCCAGGTCACATCGGAACTTAAAGAGAAGCCAGTGAAGCCGGGAAAGGTAGTCATGGGGCAGGAGCATGGACAGGGTGGGAGAACACCAGGAAAAAGAGGTGGGTGCTCTCCAGGGAGGGGCCGAGGGCTCAGGAGTTGAGGGCTCCAGGAGGAGACAGTGAACGTTGCTCAGAAGGAAATATTGGTGCCCTCATAAGGGCTCCACGCACAGCAATCACGCTGCGGGAAGTGAGAGCTGAGGTAGTACCCAAGCGCATCTCCTGCCTTAGCTCTTCTGTTGTCTGCCTGACCCGGTGGGAAGCGGTGCACAAGATCCTCCCAGATCACTCGCTTCCGGTAATACTGGGCTTGCTCTGGTCTGACTTTGTGTTCATGCTCCATCTTGTGTGTTCGCTTTCTCGTGGCTTTCAGGAAAAACCACTAACAAATGTACCCTTGCCCCTACCCTGCTTTAAGGCTGTATAAGGAATCGGCGCGGGAGATGGGTTTTGAAGAATTCCATTTGTATCTGAGGCCTGTTCCCTTCCAGTTTGCATCACACAAGGACAAGGTGGACCCGCCCCCTCCTGTCTTTATGACTTCCTTGCTGGAGGACAGCGGTCGAGTAGACAGGTGAGCATCCAGGAGGTGAGAACGCTGTCGTGTGCAGAGTGACCCAGTGAGAATGCTTTCCGTCACCACCCGACGGTGTTTATGTTCCCTTCCTTGGATGTAATCTGCCATTACGCCAGTTTGTGGCTAGAGTTTTCCTGCCTGGCCCACAGTCAGGACAAATCTCTGTCACCTGCCAGTCCCACAGCCGCTCAGACCCAACCAAGTAAACACAGAGACTTATATTGTTTACAAACTGTATGGCCGTGGCAGGCTTCTTGCTAACTGTTCTTACAGCTTAAATTAATCCATTTCCATTAATCTATACCTTGCCACGTGGCTCGTGGCTTACCGGCATCTTCACATGCTGTTTGTCATCGTGGCAGCTGGCAGTGTCTCTCTGACTCAGCCTTCCACTTCCCAGCTTTATTCTCCTCCTTGTCCCGCCTACACTTCCTGCCTAGCCAATGGCCAATCAGTGTTTTATTTTTTGACCAATCAGCAACACATTTGCCATACAGAACATCCCACAGCACCAGTTTTCTTCTTTCTTTTTTTTTAAAAAAAGATTCTTTTTTTAAGATTTATTATCTATTATGTGTACAGTGTTCTGTCTGCACACCAGAAGAGGGCATCAGATCTCATTACAGATGGTTGTGAGCCACCATGTGGTTGCTGGGGATTGAACTCAGGACCTCTGGAGGAGCAGTCACTGCCCTTAACCTCTGAGCCATCTTTCCCGCCCAAAGTTGTTTTTTTGTTTGGTTTGGTTTGGTTTGGTTTTTCGAGGCAGGGTTTCTCTGTGTCGCTTTGGAACCTGTCCTAGAACTCACCCTGTAGACCAGGCTGGCCTCGAACTCACAGAGATCTGCCTGCCTCTGCCTCCTGAGTGCTGGGATTAAAGGCGTGTGCCACCACCGCCATGGTTACCTTTTAGAGCTTTATTGGGAGGAGGGGGAGAGAGAGAGAGAGAGACAGAGACAGACAGACAGACAGACAGACAGGGGGAGGGGCTGATGGGAGGAAGGAGCGGAAAAGAGAGGAGACAGAGAGACGCACAGAGGGCCCACCCGCTTTTTAGGCTGGGACACCGTTGAAGCCTGATGACGTAATTAAGGACCAAATCCTTACAGCTGGACCCACAAGAGAGCAAGAAGTAGACACTGTTTGGGGTTAGTGGGGGATCCTGAACAGGTGTGGTCAAGAAAGGAAGAAGGGAAGGGAGTGATGAAGAGAACACCCCACAGTACGGAGCGGTCGCCACGGCCAAGTCCAGTTTGCCGTTACCATTGACATCCCAGATCTGGTCAGCGGCTGTCCTGCCAGATGGGCATCTCCTGCCAAGTGCTGGGTCAAGACTGACAGCTCCACCTATCTATCTCCTTGCAGATACTCCCCCACCACCCTCGTCTTAGCCGTCTCTGAGCTGGACGATAACCAAATTGGCAAGTTCAGTTTTTATACAAAAGACGCCATCCTGAAGGTAAACAACTTTGTGCTTTTCTTTTTTTTTTTTTCTTTTCTTTTTTTTTTTTTTTTGGTTTTTCGAGACATGGTTTCTCTGTGTAGCTTTGTGCCTTTCCTGGAACTCACTCTGTAGACCAGGCTGGCCTTGAACTCACAGAAATCCTCCTGCCTCTGCCTCCCAAGTGCTGGGATTAAAGGCGTGCGCCACCACCGCCCAGCGTGCGTTTCTTTAGAAAAGGTGCTAAAATAAAGCAAAGCAGTTTATTCTTCTGTTCTTAAAAAACTAATTTGTGTAAACTGACTTCCATTCACAAGAAAAGCTCCCCCCCCCCCCCCCCCGCCCAAGCCTTACCTGGTATCATGGCACACACCTGTAATCCCAGCACTGGAGAGGTATAGGGGCAGAGGCAGGAGGATTGGGAGTTCAAGGCCAGTCTCAACTACTCAGCAAGTTTGAATGTGAGGCCAGCCTGGGCTACATGAGAGCCTGCCTCAAATAAAACAAAGGCCTTTCTTTATTATTAATGATGCTGCCTTTGTATGGACCTGGCTTGAGCCTTGAGGCCTACAGCCCACATACAATAACTTCTGGTAGAAATGAAAAGAAAGCTTTTAAAGTACACACTTGTTATTGGAGCTTTCCCGTCCCCTTAAAACCTGCGGCTATTTTTCGCCTTTCCCCTTAAATTTCTTTGCTCTTTTTCATGATGATATTTTTCTTGATGACTTCGATCTAATCCTGGCTTTCAAGAGCTTGCTTCCGAGCCCTTGTAGCTTATCAGAGCCCTCCCCAACCACAGGGGAGCTGCATGGTGTCCACCAGCAGGTCAGACCTGGGGGCTGCCACCCTGGGATGGACTGGACAGCTGAGCAGCAAGAAACCCAGTGTGCCCTTCCGTTCAAGTCCTGGGGGTTTTGACAGTTTAAGTGCGAGACCCACCGTCCGTTTCTCTTCCCTCTGGGGCAATCTCTGACACGATCACCTTCTCCTCCTGTAGCTCTTGCTCCATTCAGGAGTGGAAAACATGCAAGTGGCCCTCGCATGCCAAACTGCTCAGAAAAATGCTCTGATGGTGGCTGTTCAACAGGTGTCCTTCTATGACATCCCTGGAGTAGACAGTCCTGTGGATAGCAAGGTCAGCCTATACAATGGAGAAGCCAGGGGCTTGCTGCCCCTGCAGGCAGCTAATGCCAGGCTGCCCCTTTCCTCCTCCTCCCTCTCCTTCCCTCCCATGTCCCTTCCCCTTTCCTCCCATTCTCCTTTTTTCTCCCCCCTCTCCACCCCATCACCTTTCCTTTCTGATCTGTGTAGGGAAAACAGGTGCAGCTTCTCATACTGTACACTCAAAACACAGACTACTTCTGTGGCTCCAAAAGCTGTGGCGAGTTCTCCCCGACAGCAAGTAAGCAATACATTCTGTGCAGGACACCATCCAGGACTGTTCATACTCAATTCACTATGACACCATGCACCTGCAGGTAGCCGCAGATCCCATAGGTTAAAGGCGGCTTCAGCCCCAACGCGGCTCCCATCTCAGACCCAGTCACAAGTCCGGGCCTCTGGAACTTCTGATTGGCTGGCTACAAACTGGGCCTCCCAGGACTCCCTCCTTGGGTTACTCAGTTCTCACAGAGTGGAGGGAAGCACACTTTACAGTTTATTACAAAGTCTGCTTTAAAGGATGTAAACAACCAGGTGAAGAGACACATGAGGCGAAGTCTGAAGGGTGCTGGGATCAGGAGGTGTTGTCCCCACAGTGTTGGGGTGCACCATCCTCACGGCATGTGGAAGGCGCTGGGTTCAGGAGGTGTTGTCCCCACAGTGTTGGGGTGCACCATCCTCACGGCATGTGGAAGGTGCTGGGTTTAGGAGCTATATTTCCATAGTGTTGGGGTGCACCATCCTCATGGCATGTGGAAGGGTGCTGGGTTCAGGAGGTATTGTTCCCACAGTGTTGGGGTGCACCATCCTCACGGCATGTGGAAGGTGCTGGGTTCAAGAGCTATAGTTTCCATAGTGTTGGGGTGCACCATCCTCACGGCATGTGGAAGGGTTCTCAGTCACTTTCTTGCAAGCCTCTGCCTGTCCAGCTGTTCTGAGGCTCCCCATACTCTGCCCTTTGGAAAGACTTACTGCACGGGCCTGATGGATCACGTGGCCTGCACAGAGGCTTGGACAAGAATGTGGAAAAGCAGCTGAACAGAAAGGGAGCGCTTCCGTGCGAAGGGATTAGGTGACAAGCTGATTAGGAGAAAGTTCTCCTCAGATCTCATCTCCTCAAAATTCAGCCACGGGACACAGAGAGCGAAAGCAGAAGTTTACTGAGCAGAACAAAGCAAAGGTCAGTTCCTTCTGGAGAGAGATTAGATTGGGCTCGACTGAAAAGCGGGGCTGACGGTGCGCGGTGGTGGGTGGGAGGGAGTTTAGCAGCCCACTGGGGTCTGTGCTTTGACTTCTAAAAAGTTCTAATGAATACTTATGAGGGGTCAGCATATTTGTGAGGTGATGTGACAGCCCTTCCCCATCATGGCAGACCTCATCTCTCTTTTAGGGTATTTCTTCCTGCAATCCTCTTGAAAAGTCCTTGGGGGAGGGGACACCAAAAATCTCAGAACCAATAAATTTCTGGTGGCGCCGGGGTCTTTCGGTGATACAAACCCCGCACCAGCACACAGGTGGCAGCTTAGGAAGTGTCCTGTAGCTTGAGTTTCTGAAATGATGGGAAGAACTTAAGCGTATCTTCGAGGCTATTTCACCACAAAGAGGCACGCCGACCCTCTGGAGACACCGCTGTTCCCTAGAGGCTGACGGTCTAGCTCTGTCTAACTCAGAGACACAGTGACCAAGGCACAGCTGTGGAGTCTGTAACCCTGCAGTGAAGTCCTCGCCCACCTAGTCCCCAGAAGACCCCAGAGGCCTGTCTGCACGGGCTCTCCAGTACCCCATCCTGAGGGCCTGGGACAAAGCCACCTCTGCAAAGGGGTCGTATCTACCGTTAAAAAGTAGATCCACGTATTTCAGAGTAAGGTTTCTTTGACCTCTGCAGAAGGAAATTCCAGTTTCTACGGCCCGCCTCTGGGAGAAGGAGCCGGTGAAAGGCCGGTAGGAAGACCCGGGTGGAGGGTAAGAACACCCACCAACTTCGTTTTCAGAGGCCTTTTGTGAGGCTGAAGGGCCTCAGGGTTATTCCAGCTGCTCAGGCATTAGCAAGGCCTTGGGAGAGGTGAGTCAGGAACCAAGCAGTATGAAAAGGTGTATATGTCATACCCCATTTTCTTAACTTCTTGCCCCCTACCTTCTCGGCTGCTTGTGAGTGGTAACGTGCTGATAATGTATCCTTTGTAGATTACTCTAAAATACTGACTGGCTAGACTCATCCAGGACAGAATGTACCAGTTTTCAGCCCACCCCTTTGCAGATAAAGGATTTCATTGTTTTCTTGTTTGTCCTTCCTACAATTCTTTTGGAAAATGTAGGAAGACACATTTGGTCCTTTTTTTAAACATTAAGCTAGTGGTGGAGGGGCCAGAGAACATGCCATGACTCGCGGGTAGAGATAGAGAATAACTTGTAGGAGTCAGTTCTCTCCTCCACCATGTGGGCTCTTGCTGGAACTCGGGACCCCAGGCTTGGTAAGTGCCTTTACCCACTGAGCCATCTTGCTGGCCCTTGATTCTTTTTTTCTTCCCACAAAACTACCATGCTGTATATACTCCTTTCCCTCATATTTTTGAGGATTTCTTTTGTCTTTTTGTTGTAGAGATATAATTCACAGAACATAAAATTACTCCTTTAAAGTGGCTAATTCAGGGACTGGACAGAGATGGCCAAGCAGTAACGAGCACTTACTGCTCTTCCAGAGGACCTGAGTTCTGTTCTCAGAAACACAGCTCTCTGCTCACAACTGTCTGGAGCTCCAGTTCTAAGGGCTCTGAATCCTTGTGATCTCCTCAGGCACCACCACACACATGGAATCCTCAGATACCCATACGTAGATGGCCTCCTTAGGCACACACACACACACACACACACACACACACACACACACACACGGGCAGATACTCAAAACAAAGGCACATATACACATAAACAAAAATAAAAATTTCAAAAGAGTGTCTGACTCAATGTTTTTTTAGTCTATTCACAGGACCATGTAACCATCACCAATTTCTATTTTAAAAATATTTGTATCACTTTCTAAAGAAACCCTGCACGTAAGTGGCCACTCCCAACACTCCCCCCCACCCCCCCATCCCTGGAACCACTGAAGTACTTCCTGCCTCTGGATTTACTGTTCATATAGTGTATCATACATGTGGCCTTTTGTGTTCGGCTTTTTTTACTTAGCACAATGTTCTCAAAGTCTGTGTTATAGCACCTATATACTTCATTTTTTATTGCTGGGTAAGATTCTGTCATGTATAAACAAAATACCCTACATTTTGTTTATCTGTCCATCAGTGAATTGTCTTTACTTTTGGGCTATTAGGAGTAATACTGCTGTGAGCATGCACACACAATGCACAGAGCAATCATGCCTCAGTGATTAAAAACCTGTAGTAGCTCTTTGTAGTGCAAAGAATAAGACTGGATATCTTCAGCTTGGTATACAAGATCTTCCCTCTCTGACCCAAGTTCTCTCTCCTTCTCCTGCTCTTCTTCTAAATTCTATCTTAAGAATTTTTTTGTGCACTCTATGCCTCTGCTCATGTTTCCCCAGAACATTTTGTCCCTACTCTACCACACCCCACTTCTCCTTCCTCCTCACACTTTTTTTTTTTTTGGTCTAGAGGATGTTGGTCATCCTCTATGTTTCAACTCAGTTATTATTGTTAAGGGTAGCCCACCAGAGATGACCACTTAGGCACAGTTTATAGCCAATTGTATATCTTTATTCCAGCCAGCTGGGACTACACTCGGGTATTTAGAGACCCAAGTAGCTCCAGGGGGCTTTTAAAAGCAAAAACCACATCCTGTTATCTCCCTCAACAGCTGCAGGGGGAGGTTTGCACAAGCAAGCTGTTTAACAGAAGCTAAGTTAGCTGGGGCATCTTGACCTCAGGTTCCTAGAATAGGGTTGGGTAATTTTCCATGAGATTCTCCATCAGGGAGGTCAAAATCTAGTTAAACCTGAAATGGCCTCAGCAAGAACACAAGATGGAGGAACCTCCACATGGCTTTGCCCTGTTGTCTTCCAGAAAACATCCAGTCTTCTTTGAACTCTGCTAGAGTAAATTTTATGGTTACTTCTTCATAAAAATGTATGTACAAATACATTTATACATCTTTTACAACTGGAACAGGAAGGGGTCTGATAACATAATCAAGAGATGGAGTTAGGGAGGAAGAGAAGAAAGAAAGAGATGAGACAGAGAACAAGTATGTGCTGCCACCGATGCTCAAGAAAAAGGTATTCCAAGAAGCAATGAACCACCAGCAGTACAGCCTGGCAAACGAGCAGTGAGAAGATGTTCAACACCAGTCACCGTTAGAGAAAAGTCAGTTAAACCCCACTGAGAAATATTCCACATGCATTAGAATGGTTAATTTAAAAGTCTGACTACCTTCTCTGCTGGCAAGGAGCTAGAAGACCTGAAACCTTTGTTTCTTCTGGTTAGAATGCAAAATGGTGCAACCACCTGGAAAAGAATTCAGCAATTTCTTAAAAGGTTAAACATGTACCTACCATATGAACTGGACACTCAACATCTAGGTATTTAATCAAGAGAAATGAAAGCCCATGGCCATGCAAAAATTTGTATGTGGATGTCCGTGGCAGTTGTATTTAAGAACTGGAAGGGATCCAAGAGTCCTTCAGTGGATTAGTACATAAACACAGTTTAGTATATCTATATAACGGCATACTACATAGCGGTACAAAGAAATAAATGGACACTAACAACAATATAGAAGCCAGATAATAGGACCACATTCAGCAGGAATGTATGTAAATTCTAGGTAATCCATTCTAGCCTAAAATTGCCATAAACAGAGGAGTGATTGAGGAAGGGGAGGAGGGAGAGAAGGATGGGTGTGGGGGTTTGTAAGTTAAAATGATGGTGATGATTTCTTAGTTGAGTACATAAAAAAATACGTGTCAGAACTTACCTAACCATATACTTTAAAATTGTTTGTTTAAAATGTCAATTGTTCCTCAATAAAGAAAATTGCAATTTTGGAAAAAGGGAGCCAAATTTGATTGATTTGAATGAAGAATGGGCAAAGCAGATGGGTACAAGTTAAAAACGAAGATGTTTGATGCTCACAGTTTCCCTGCTAACTCAGGAGTTCTACTCACTTAGAGTAAAAGCTACAGGACCCAAGTGTAGAAGGCATGAGATCCATGAGGCTCTGTCTCAAAAACCAACAACAAAAAAATTAGACTAGAACTGAGTAAGCAATTTGAGCATACGGGAGAATTAAGGGGGAAAAAGAGATGTGGACATATTTGCAAGGCTGAAAAGGAGAAGTCGTAGGGCATAAATATAAAAGGTGGGCATAGTCAGAGCTGCGGTCCAGATGAGGGATGAGGGTGTGAGTGCTGGATTCAGCAGCCTCTGTGGTCCCAGCTGGCAGGAAGTCATATGATGGAAACACGTGATGGAAATGTCTCTCTGTATGCTGTGAATGTGTTGCTCTGATTGGTTGATAAATAAAATGCTGATTGGCCAGTGCCAGGCAGGAAGTATAGATGGGATAAGCAGACAAGGAAAATTCTGGGAAGAGGAAGGCTGAGTCAGGAGATGCCAGCCTGCCATCCAGGGAGCAGCATGTAATGGTACATAGGTAAAGCCACAGAAAATTGTGGTGACATATAGATTAACAGAAATGGGATGAGTTTAAATGTAAGAGCTAGTCAGGAGTAAGTCTGAGCTAATGGCTGAGCAGTGTTAATTAATATAAGCTTCTGTGTGTGTTTACTTGGGTCTGAGCAGCTGCACACTGGGAGGGACACAGGAAAACTGCAGCTACAAACACAGGCTGGTCTTTTCCCACCCTCATGAGCTAGCTTCGTCCTGGGTAAGGAGACAGGTTCTAGCTAGATTAAGGAAAATAGAAGAGACCTGCGGGTGAGCGTTGGCCCTGGATTGAACTCAGAACTTCCATTCTCTTCCCTCCCACCGTCTCATGGCCTGGCAAGATGGCCCCTCTTCTCAACTGGTGGAGACTTCCATTTCCTGTACCTGGGATGCCCCAAGGGTTTTCAGGGGGAAATGGGATTAGAAACTAGATTTTTTTTCATCTCTGGGATTTTCTCCCCTTTGACCTCACCCTCCTGACATAATTCTATATAATAACCCCTTGGTTGTGTCATTGAAGAACGACCTTCCCTTTGAAGACTTAACCGTTCTTTCAGTTAGCAGGTGATAAAACATAAAAGACTTTTACCTACCGTTCTCCATCACAAACTGTGCTGGAGTGGCAGAAGATACTGATTTCTTATTTTCTTCCCCAGCACTCCCTCTCCCTCTCCTCTCTCCCACCCTCCCCTGCTCCCACTTTCCCTTCATTATCGTTACATTGCCAAAGAAGGCGTCTATAATCCGGCCATACTTGGGCATACTTGGGGGAGTTTTCCAGACCTTATAACTGCGTGACCCATTAGCAGATATGTGCAATCCATCTTCCAGACCTGTGTGATCCATTAGCAGTTCTTCTTTAGCGGCTGGTCCACACACACAATTCCACTCAACTGCTTTGTAGGATGGAGAATTTTTCTGAGAACATTTTATATAACTGTACTCAAATTCTGGAAATAGCTGTACTTTGTGCCTTACTCCTTCAGGGTGCAGACTGGTGTCTCTCTCCCCATCCCCACCTCCTCCCATCACATATGTGTGGGTTCCGCTGTGGTCCAGCAGCCCTGCAGGGCCTGCCTGTACAGCAAACTGGACTCACTTTGGTTTCAAATGGTTTAGGAAACAAGTTCGGCTCTGAGGCATCATGGCAGAATGAGTCCAACCAGAAGAGATTCCAGAACTTTGAACGGCATAGAATGTCTGCTATTGGCCCCAACTCCAAAAGCTCCAGACACACTTACTCATTCTTCCCAAGGATCTAAGACTACCAAAAGGTACTGTATCTAGTGGGAGGATATTTGAGTCAAAAAATAGATTCCTGTGAGCTTTATTCTTTTAAGATCTCATATGAAGATGCTAGATTAGACACAGTCCAGTCTATATGGAGGGTCAGCTCATCCTGATTTTAGTCCTTTCCTCCTCTCTTTTTTTCCCCTCTCCTCTCTTCCATTTCTCTTTCTTCCCTTCACTCTCTGCTGCCTCTTTCTCTGTAGATTGTCCCATATCCTCCTTCATGAGCAGGGAGATAAATAGGCCGCTCCGGACTTTCTGTAATCACATAAGATTGAAACCACAGAACTGCCTTCCCTGCTCTAACAAAGATATTACTGTTGTTCAGAAAAGCAGGAGGGTGAGTTCTCTGAGAACCACAGTGTCTCGGAGATATGTCTACCACCAAGGGTGCCTTACTATGCCTTGATCTCTGCCCACCCTGACGCAGATAGACATAGACGTATTCTTTAATAATTATGGCCACTCTGGATATTTCCTTGGGCACCAAGGGCGCTCTAATTTAATTGGGCAAATATGGAATGAAAAATGATGAGAGGCAAAGTAACTTCTCTTTGAGATGGTGTTAATGGGACACATGGCCAGAGGTCAAGTGTCTTCAGACCACATTCCCGGTGTGGATGGAAGATTTAAGATCAGTGTCTAGTTGAGAGGACCCTTCAGTTCGGGCATCTCAATGGCTAACATAGAGAGGGCACACTGCCCGCCTATGATGTCTGGGGAAGGACAGCTGACACATGCTTTAGATACAGTGGGGGTCTAAGGAGGAACGCAATGGGAGGTGAGTCATCAGAAACACTCAAGAAGGTGGTCACTGTGGAGACAGCCTGACTTCCTGCTGCAGCTCACCCAACATGTGAGATATTGCGAGCTACCTGTCAGCTGGCCTCTCCCTCAGCTCAGCTGTCTCTCTCCCCTTGTCAGGGCTCCAGAGGCCTTTGTGTCTATTCAACTAGAAAAGGTGGGTTTGCGGGACACGATGCTGAACACCTTCCTGAGCAGAAAACAGAGCATGGCTGACAGGATAGAGAACCCTGTGAGTATAAAAGGTGAAGGGCTTCCTGGAGCTCTTGCTCTTTTTTATGTTCGAGCAAATAAACATTTTGAATTGGGCATCTGTTGCTTCAAATCACTGGGGCAGGGCTATTGAAAGCACACGTCACATCCACCTAGTCAGGGTAGAGTCCTTTCCACAGCCCACAGTCGTGTTTTAAGGAATGCACATTGTTCCAAGGCCCCATTTTTGTGCTGTCATTTTCTGAATGGACGGGTCTGAGTACCTATTCCAGGACATTTGCTACTTTTGAGTGACCTGCAGGGGTAGGTGGCTAGGGCAAGGTAGACAGTTGCTCACATGTCATCTTCATTTATCAGAAGCTACTGATGTGTTCCTATTTAAATTGTTTCAAATATTAGTCAGATCATTTAGAAAATATTTCAAAACTCAAACCTTTAATCATTTGAATTCCCAGTTTTGTCAATAGCGTTTCATTACTCATTAAGATTTTGGTAACATGCAGTTATCTGGAGGGAAATGAAATGGAAGGAGGAGGTTTTGTCCCTCCCTGTGACAGGCGAGGAAAGACAGCCTAATGTAGGCATGCACATGACGTGAAATGCAGCCAGGTGCTTTATTTACTGACAAGTGGGGACGGAAGCAAAAGCATTCACTATTTTTTAAGAATTGTTTATTTTGGGGAGAATCAATGCCTTTCTCCCCAAAATAAACAGTTCTCAAAAGATCGTGACTGTGTGACCGAGATCCAGGATTACCCAACACCTAGCAGACCAGAAAGAACTCAGGCAATATTAGATCAGGTTTGTCGGCTGCAGGATTTTAGCTCACTAGTAAGTTAACAAGTTAGCCCTTTACCATCCCACGGATGCTGGCTGAAGTACGAGACTGAGATCAAAGATGGAACTTAACTCCTCACAGCAGAGCAGGCAACACAGGGTCGTGTTGTATCAATGCCCCTTGCCTCCCAAGTCCCACAGAGACAGAGCGGAAGAGCCACCAAGCACCTAGTGGGGCACCTCTGTTATAGCAAAAGTGCCCTTTTTTCTAGGGAGAGGCTCTACTTCAGCCCCAAGGGTTGCTCTCGGCGAACACAACCCTGAGAAGTGGCTCAGACAGAAAGTGGCCAGGGCCTGGCATTGTTAGCATGCTCAGCAAGGTGGGAGTGGGTAGAAGAGACCCGCCCAAGAGTCTCCCAACACATTTACCCAGAGAAAGAAAGTCTCAGCTTCGTGGCTATTTCCCCCTTGAACTTGACCACACATTCATTCGAATGCTGGCTTACTATATATATATATATATATATTTTTTTTTTTCTTTTATCGACAGGATGACATTGAAAAAGTCAAGAGGGAACTAATAGTTGAGTATTGCCAAAAGTAAGTAGAGTCTACGTGAACAGCGCACTCTGGTTTTCTCTGACCGGGTACCCTTGCCAGCTGCCCTGTTATCTAGAAACCCAGACCGCGGTTTGTATGTAAATAAACCACAGCGGTACTGGATGGATAGAACCAAGTGAGACTCACACACAGGGTGTTTGGGGTGGGGGTGGGGGCGCACATCAGAAGTAAGGACAGGACGTGCCTGGAAGAGGTCCATGCTCTGCCTTCAGACAAGGCCAACCTTACCCAGGTGGCAGTGTCTTCTCAACAAAGAATGTTCTATTCTCTTTGAAAAGTCCACGGGAAGTAGATTCTGGAACTTCTCTGAGAGGTAGAAGATCTTGGACTCTTCTTCAGGATGCCATCTCTTCCTCTGACCTCCAGGCTGAACGGTCGCATGTCCCACTCTGCCCTTCGGGGTCAGATCATGGTGTACTGCAATAGCCTGAGAGTTCTGCTGGACGACTTCCCTACCATCAGGGACACCTTCTTCATGGTGGGACAGCCAAATGAAAAGAAGGGCTTGAAGGACTCCAGTGGGGAATTCAAGACGGACCCCAGGTATGCAAGGCTGTTAAAGCTTGATACTCTACTGCCGAGGCCTGCCCTCTCCCAAGAGGCATTGTTAAGTACAGAGACTCTTGGTGCCACAGTGTCCCCCAAGATCCAGGGATGAAGAGTTGCTAGGCAGGGATGTGTACTATTAGGAAGTGGTGGAGCTTCTCAGAGGCGGGAATCTAATGCAAGACTTTGAGGTCACTGAAGGTATGTCCTTGAAGGGGGTTGTGGGGTTTCCTCTCCATCACCATCCCTTCCTTCTCCCTTCCCCCCACCCCTTTATGAGTAGTATTGTTACCCAGAGGCAAACACACTGCCTCACCTAAAACATCAGGGCCAAACAGCACAGTAAACATTTTTCTCTTTATGAATAGGGTTGTTGTTGTTGTTGTTTTGTTTGTTTGTGTTTTGGTTTTTTAGGTACTTCTTGTAGTAGTGGAAAGCTGACCTTCTGCTTTATTGCCCTTGATTTTGACTTTCTGGCTTGGAAGGTCAGAAGAAAACATCAGCATTCTAATAATGAGAGCATCTTTGTCTCTGAAGGAGTCCTTTGTTTATAATGTGTGTGTGACTGTGGTTTTCAATCAATGAGGTCTTGTTTTCTCCTGGGAAGGCCAGAGATTCTCACCAGTCATAGCCCTTTCTACAAGCTAATGTCTAAAATAATTAAGCAAGCAGGGGAGCATGGCTTTTAGCTGTCCTGGCTCCCAGTAGTCTACTCAGTGGAGAAGAAATATTTAGAAGAAAATAACAATTAATCAGCACTGTGAGTAAATCAGCGTTTTTTTCCCTCTATGATATCCAGAGAGAGATTGAAAAAACAAGAGCTGTTTCCAAGCTCCCTCATCATTCTGTATAGATTTCCAAGTGTCTTCACCCAGTCAACCTAGGATCACCCTCCAGGATGGAGGAGTTAGTGTACCTGGGCAGTCACTAACCACATTGTCTTAACCATGAAGAAGAGGGAGCATAGGTTATGCAGTGTCCAAGGAGCTTCCTCACCCCTTACTCATTTCCTGTGTAGTGTGGAGTTTGGGTACCAGTAATATTTAAAATATGATCACAGGTGAGACAGATGAAAGGCATTGGAAGATGCATGCTTCAGAGCATGCATCCATTCATTCATGCATGCATGCATGTGTTGTGGAAGAAGGCATGCTTCAGACCCTGCATCCATCCATCCATGCATGTATGTGTTGTGGTGTTCAAATTTACTGGGAAAGACCAAAGGCTTAGACTCAAATTTAGATGAATTTATTCTTACTGCTTTCAGAAGGTGGCAGCCTTAGAACCAAGCAGCATGCTGTATAGAAGGGGGTTAAGGTGGGGTTTTAAGATGGACATTGGAAAGGTGTATATTACAACTATCCATGGAATCCACAGCTGGGCAGGAACTTTGTTCTATTTCTCTCAGTGCTTTCTTTCTATATAGAAGAAAAAAAGACCATTTCATCCCTTTCCCATGGTGCTAAGCAGATGCTTTACAGATGCAAAGGCAGCTGTTAATGCTTCTCAGGCCACTGTGCTATTCTTACCTCACCTGCCGGCCACTAGGGTCTTCCAGGCATTCCAGAACAAAAGGTCAATGGCCCTTAAGGGATGCCTGGCTCCATATTAAGTTTCTTTAGCCATCACAGGGGACCTGTGTAAATCATTACTCAGGTCTGAGCACGCTAGTGACATGGATAGAGCAGGTCATTTCTGGGCAAGCAATAACACGGTGTTATCATGTTAGGGCTGGCTGTCATGTCCCTATGCATGCATGCACATCAACCATCATTTGTTCAGGCCTTGCTTAGTATCAGGCAGTCTGCATCATGCTAGAGGCGCCAAGGTGAAGAAGCCATTGGCTCTAGAGGAAAGCTCACTGGTCAGCTAACGCCAGAGATCACGTTAGAGGTATTTCTCCAAGGGTGTGAAGGTACAAAGGAGGGGGTGTTTAACTCTACCCCAGGGCTTCAGAGAGGAATTGAAAAAAAATCCAAGTACTAGGAAAGTGGAGTTTACCAAGGAAATGGAAGAGTCAGTGAAGGGCAGAGAAGGAAAGGAGTTGGAGGCCTTCATCCCTTGACTGGCTGACAGGGCCCATCTTGCCTTGGTGTTTACAAGGCCCTCTGGTTGTGGAGAAAACCAGAGTTCTTACTTTGAAAGTCCACCAGTGCTTTCTGTGAGTAGACTCCAGGACTTGTAAGGGTGCCTTTCAGAGAGGAGAGGGCCGGAGACACCTCTATAGCCTTGCTTGTGGAAGGCTTTGCTGGCCATCTGCAGCTCGGGGGGGTTGCAATGCATTTCTCTTTCATGAGAAGCATCACAGGTCAATCCTTTAAGACCTCTTTATTCCATCCGTTTTCTACCCTCTAGGCAAATTGACCAATCTACTCTTGGCATCAAGCTTTAAAAGTTCTTTCCAGAAGCCTTCTCATGAATTCACTACATTTCTGTTTAGGGTGAAATGTATTCTGCAGCCTGTCTTTGGTTCTGATGTGTTTAATTTGCAGTAGCCATTGAGGAGGCGAGGGTGTGAAGAGGGGGGACCTGTGTGGCTTGTGGCCTTGCTCTGTTCCTTTACGGTGTTGTCTTAGTTACCTTGACATCCAAACCAGCAGAGATGTCTCCTGGATGATGGCATTTCCTAAAGAGTAAGGGACGTGGCTTCTAAGTGGAGAGCCCAGACTCCTGAGGAGACTGCTCAGTTCAATGCAATGACTTCAGGACAGAATCTTGGACCAGAAAGTGATCAATGTGGGGGGTCACGCAGAGCAGTGACTGGTGTGGATCTGTTGCTTCTCCACAGCCTTTGCCTCCTGCTTCCTGTGTCCTCTAATATCAATGGCTTGCTCTTTTAAATATTGTTTTTTATTTGATGTATATATGTGTGTGACTGTATGTGTGTAAGTGCACCTCATGAGTGCAGGCGCCCACAGAGATCAGAAGAAGGTATGTGATTCCCCTGGAACAGGAGTCCAGGTGGGTATGAGCTGCCATGTGGGTGCTGGGAACCAAACCCAGACCTTCCACAAGAGTGACAAGCCCTCTAACCACTGAGTCTCACTCCAGCCCCTTTCTTAATATTCTCATTTGTACGAATGTAGAGGAACTTCTGTCTTACGTGGAAGTTTGGGGAAAGTGCTTCCTAAGAGTCCTTCTAACACCAAGGACTGTGGTTCTGTGAACTGGTAGACACAGGGCAGTAGCAGTGGAAACAGATTAACTTTCTATTTTACTGAGGAGGTTTATTTTAGCTCAGTTTTGGAAGTCCGTGGGCAGAACACCAGCACCAGCTGATTCTGAAAAGGGCATTTTCCTGCAGAGTCCCATCAGAGTGGAAGTGAGTGAAGGAGGGAGAACCCATGTGAAACATCAGGAAAGCACAGCTGGGCCTGGTGATGTACTTGGGAGGTGGAGGCAGGAGGATCAGGAGTTCAAGGTCATCCTTGGCTACACAGAAAATTTAACACCAGCCTGGGCTACAAGATGCTATCTCAACATAACCCCACCTCTGAAAAATAAAATAATTTGAAAAGTCAGCAAGACAGAGAGACACTGGAATCCAACAGTCCATTCCAAGGGCACACCACCAACTGACCTATGGTCAGGCCCATAGGATTTACCCTTAAAAGTCCCACCATGCTCCAGTACCACTCCTGTGGCCAGTCATAATGAAAAGAGTCCATTATGAACTCTCTTCAAGGGGAACATACTTCAACTCAATCCAAGACCCAGCATTCAGTCAAACAAAGGTGCAGCCGAGATCCCAGTCTGGGATTTCACCCAGCTCCGTCACATGCTGCCCTAAGGAAAATCGCTCATCTTCAATCTCTGGACTTTGTTCTCTTCCCAGGACCGGGGACACTGAAGCAGCTCTGTGAGGTCAGACATGCTACAGTTCTCAGTGTTTAGAGATCTAGCAAGGCCACAAGAAGCCGGGTTGCTGACGAAGAGCTGTCTGGAAAAGAGAGGCCATTCCTGTGACTGCTTGGGAAATGTTAGATGGGAAGGGGCGCAGGCAAAGATGACCAGAGAGAAGAGGGCAGAGAAGGAGTGAGGCACAGAGGAGGGGTATCTTCTTTTCAGCCATAAAATAAGAGGCTGGGCTGCATTAAGATCAGACATGACCTTTATTTTAAATGTCAATTCCAACAATTTATTAGTGTCCCAGAGGATTCTGAGATGTTTCGTCTATGAGAGTATGGTAATTGATTGGCAATGTCTGCCATGGTCAAGAGTCCCATGAGTTGTGTTAGTTTAAAATTCCGAGATGCAACTTAATCATTTAAAGGCTCTAATGGATTGTAGTTCAGCAGAGCTCGCCCACCTCCTCCCAAAGCCAAGTCTTTGTCAGAGAGGAGCTAAAAAGGGGAGCCCTCTCCCCACAAAGTCCCTTGGGGCTTCTGTTCCCTTCGTGATTCCAGGGGAGGCTGGAGTCTGAAGACCAGGATGTGACTCCTGCACTTTGAGGGGCAGACTGATGGAGGAGCAAAGACAGTCAACCGAGAGAGAGGACATGTTAGCTGATTACTCAGTATGTGACAAGGAGGGTCACTGTCATTCCAAACAGCCACTTTGTGAAAATGACAAGCGGGTATTCCTTCTTCTGGGTGGATGTGGCCGATGGTGGGGTACAGGGCCTGTTACGAGAAGCACAGGCTAGACCCTACCCACTGCTAATTGCCTCAGAGCACAGCCTGAAAGTGGATATTCAGCAGTCTTGGTACCAGCTGCCGTACAATAATGAAATGGGTATGGTCCTCCTCTGGCAAGGAGAAATAGACAGGTCCTAACAGCACACTGTGGTATGGACCAAACTAAAATAAATGATCAATGAACATCCCAATCAAGAAATGCTCAGTATTCAAACTGGAGCGATGGAGCAGCAGTTAAGAGCCTTTTTCTGCTCTTCAGAGGACCCAGCACCCATATGGCAGCTCATAACCGTCTGTAACTCCAGTCCCAGAGGATCTGACATCCTTTTCTGGCCTCCTAGGGCCAGGTGTGCATGTGGTGCACACACATACATGTAGGCAAAATATCCATACACATAAAGTAAAACTAAACAAAATTTTAAAAGGAAAAATGCTCAGTGTTCCTGTGGTGGTTTGCATGAGAAGTGCCCCAATGGACTCTGGGATTGAACAACTTCTCTGTTGGTAGAGGTGTAGGTGGGGCGGCCTTACTGGGGGGTGTGGTTCCTGGGCATGGGCTTCGAGGCTGTCTAGCCTCACCCTACCCTATGTCAGTTTGCCTTCTCTTCTTCATGAACTGGGTTGAGGGTAAGCTCTCAGCTTCCTGCCCCAGCGGCCACGCCTGCCGCCTGCTGCTGGGCTTCCCAGCAGGATGGACTCGTAATTCCGGGGAAACAGAAGCCAAAATGAACTTTCTTCTTTAAGTTGTTGCCTTGGCTTTGGTGTTTTACCACAGCAAGGGAAGTTTGGGAGATGAGAGCCGGAGCCAGGCAGACCTCGGGGAGACCATGCTCAGTCTGCGTCTTGGTTGACGACTAACATCCTAGGTGGGCAGAGAAAGGAAATCCAGCGGAAGCTGGGAGATCTGAATTTTTGAAGTCACTGAGATACAAGGCGGCAGGCTGGCTGACTTCTGCCTGTATCCAGGGAATCAGAGAATGCAGTGGCAATGCAGGGGATGAGCGAGGTCCAGGAAACTCATATTTTTGTCTTTCAAGCCACAGGGCAAGATCAACATGGCCGTCAGGGACACCACTTAGGAGGATCCGTAAACTGTTTAGGAGGTGACATCAGTGAGGCCAGGGTGCCAGATTTAGCGTGGAACCAAGGAAGAAAGAGGGACCTAGGATGTCCCCTGGAGTCCCCTAGCTCAGGTGACTAACGGTGGCAGTGCCTTTTTCTTTTTCTAGTTTATTATTATTACTTCTGTGTGATGTGTGTGTGTGAGTGCAGGGGTGTGCATGCTACGACATACGTGTGGAAGTCAGAGGAAAACTTTCTGGATTGCTTCTCTCCTGCAGTCATGTTGAGGTAGATCTCTGTTCCTGCCACACTGTGTCCTCCAGGCTGGCTGGCCCGCTGACTTGACAGTTCTCCTGTGTCTGCCTCCAGTCACACTGGAGGATGCTGGGACTGCAGATGCAGGCCACGAATCTGTTGTTGTTTTTTCCTGTGGGTTCTAGGGATGGAGTTCAGGTCACCAGGCGTGAGTGACAAGGGCTTTTGCCTCCTGAGCCATCTCAAAAGGTATTGATTCGAGCTACAGAGACGGCTTACTGGTTAAGAGCACTTGTTGCTCTTGCAGAGGACCTGGGTTTCATTCCCAGCACCTACCTGGTGGCTCACAACCATCCATAACTCCACTTCCAGGGGGTTGGGTGCTCTCTTCCGGCCTCTATGGGCATCAGGCATATATGTGGTACACATACGCCCATTCAGGCAAAACACTCACATGCATAAAATAGAATCATTTCATAAAAGCGTAAAGGCCCAGAGTCTCTGAGCTCCTATGAGCCCAGGTTAGTTGATTCTGTGGGCTCCCTTGTGATGACCTTGACACCCCTGACTTGGACCAAGAGCTAGGGAGCCTGCATGGGACTGACCTAGGCCCTCTACATCTGTGTGACCATTTGTAGCTTGATCTACTTGTGGGAATCCTAGCGGTAGGAGCAGAGCCTGTCCCTGATGCTTTGGCTGGTTTTCAGGACCCTATTCCTCATACTGGGTTCCCTTGCTCAGCCTTAACACAAGGGGAGGAGCTTAGTCCTACCTCAACCTGGTATACCATGCTTTGTTGACACCCATGGGAGGCCTGCCCCTTCTGAACAGAAACAGAGGAGGAGTGGATGGGGGGTAGAGGGTAGGTAGGGGAGGGAATGGGGGGAAGGAAAGGGAAACTGTGGTTTGGGATATGAAATAAATGAATAAATTTAATAATAATAATGTAAAGGCATTGATTAATGTAAAATTCAAGAAGGTTACCCTGGGAGCCACTAGGGAGGGTCCAAGGGTGGATGACATTCTGTTAAGCCAGGTACCTGGGCTTCTGTGCATCCTTATTATTTATTTATTTATTTTGGTTTTTTGAGACAGGTTTCTCTGTGTAGCTTTGCGCCTTTCCTGGAACTCACTCTGTAGCCCAGGCTGGCCTCGAACTCACAGAGATCCGCCTCCTCTGCCTCCCAAGTGCTAGGATCAAAGGCGTGTGCCGCCACCACCGCCATTGGCTTTTTTTTTTTTTTTTTTTTTTTTTTTTTTTTTTTCTGGAGCTGAGGACCGTACCCAGGGCCTTGCGCTTGCTAGGCAAGCGCTCTACCACTGAGCTAAATCCCCAACCCACTTCTGTGCATCCTTAAACAGATAGATCTGCACTTGTCTATAAGCCTGCAACAAGGAGACTGCCTAAAAGTGATGTGGTGTTGGTGTTTGGGGAAAGAAAAACAGAAGGCCAAGGTCAGGGTCTAGGAACCTGGCAAGAAACTGTTAGAATACCAGCCTGTCTCTCAGAATAATAGTGTTCACTCTGGAAGCCAGATCCCACAGCCTGAAGTGACTAGGCCACACCTCCACACCTCCCTTCCCTCCCCCTCTCCCATCCCCTCCTCTTTCCCCTCTTCCTCCTCCCCCCATGAAGTTGTAAAGGGTTTCCTTTCCTTCCCCACCCCCATCCTGTCCCCTCTTCCCCCTCTTCCCCCCCCCATGAAGTTGTAAAGGGTTACCTTTCTTTCCCCGCCCCCATCCCATCTGACTCTACCATCCATCTACTGTTCTCCCTTCCTGCCCATCCCAGGCTGGGTAGTGTCCCCACAGCCCTTTCTTCTAACAAGCTGAATCTTCTGAAGAGAATTCTATGTCAGCTTCCTTTCCCCAGACGGACTGCTGCATTTCTACCAGAATCTCCTTATTTAACGCAAACACGGCAGGCAGGCAGGGAAGGAAGAGAGAGCTGACCGGAGCCTGAGAGGACTCTGGAGCTGGGCAGATGTGCACTGAAATGCTAACTTGGCCTCAGGAGCTGGCAGGCAGGACCTACTTCACCCGCAAAGCTTCAATTTCCTCAGCCGTGAAACAGGGACCAAAATAGATCGTCAAGACATTAAGTGGCATAAAATATGTAGCACCCAGTATGAGGCCGGCCATCTAATTTCTTTCCTTTCTTAACACAGGTCCCCTCCCTCCATGCCCACGCTTCCTCCCTCCCATACAGCTCAGGCTAAAATCAGGCCCCTCGGTTCCTTGTCCTGATGAATTATTTATACGATATTTATAAGTCCTTCTGGCCACCTGGGGGTGGCGGGCTGCTGGCTGGGCGTGGGTGCTGGGCCCACAGGGGCCCTTCCCACGGGGCAGGCCTCCGGCTTGTGGGATCCTGGCTGTGCTATGGGGCCCTTTCCTCTCCCCCTGCAGGGGTTTTCAGCCTCGGCCTCGAAGTCTGCTGTCAGCTGACGGAAGAGTCTTCCTCAACTTATGGTTTATTCCCCATCCTTCCGAAGTGCTGCTTATGTTCAAAACGCTGCCAGAGAAGGTTTGTGGATTTTCGGTGTGAGTGCCAGAGGGGACACGCTGGTCACGCTTTAGGTCCCAGGGTTGATCACAGTGAGGGGGGCATTTTTCTGTGATATCTGATCACCGAGGCTTTTCACAGCTCCTGACGCTTCTGCCCTTGAGGCTCGTTGGTTCCTGAGCTCTGTTTTTCCAGGCCGCTGAGGAACACTCATTTGGGCTTCTGGTATTCCTCCTCAGTTTCCTCTCAGCCCTTCAACAAAACCCCACTTTAGTCAGCCCCGAGGTTAGCAGAAGACAGTAACCCCTGGGCTGTGTTAAACAGTCTCACCACGTGGCCCAGGGTGACCTTGAACGTGAGCTTCCCTTGCTTGGCTTCCCAGGTGTACAAGGGCAACAAGTGTGTAACACTATGTCCAGCTGCCTGAGGGGGTTTTTGTTTTGTTTGGACCGTTCTTTGGGAATCACACTAGAAAGGCCTGACGGGGCTGGAATTCACCACCTAGGCCAGGCTGGCCTGGAACTCGCGTCAGTCCTGCTGCTATCCCTTCCAAGGGTTGGATGACAGCGATGTGCCACCACATCTGACAGGCTGCAGTTGTTAAGGGTTTTTCTCTCCAACTTTATGACTGAGAATAACATTGAGAACCGTTAGAAAATCGGTATGGAAATGAAAGCCTGTGCTGGGGTGTCCTGCTGCATATGGCATTTGGGGACTATTCTGAATTTTCTTTAGGACTATAAAGACCCCCACCTCAGTTATAGATGCTCAGAACAACACTGTGAGTGGGTGCCCCTGCTGTGAGCCCGTGATTCACAGGATAGTCAGACTAGCACACTGATGTGTTCACGGCTGTGGTGATTTTAAACAGAAACATGGTGCTTTAACCCCACAGCGGTGCCTTTGTCTGAGTGCAGGGCGACTCATGAATAGGTTTGTTGTTTTCTTTTTCTCGCTTATTATCCTGGGCTCACTGTGAAAATGTTTGCTTAAGCATGGCCTGCGCTTGGTACCACAGTTTCTGCATCATTCAACCGCTGGTCAAAAACAGTTGAGGAGAATTGTGTTTGTACTATTCCCGTACAGATATTATAAGTATCTTTGGATGGTTAAACGTCCCCAGGAGGCTCTACGTAGGTAAAGCAGACAAGCTGTCCCATGTCACGTCGGGCACTTGAGCACCTGTACGTGATGGTACTGCAGCACCCTGAAGCCAAGCCCTGTGGATACTGAGGGACCACTGTGTGCCTGCTTAAGCCTATTTTGCCTAGTCTCTCTCAAGCGGTGCATAGGCCTCTTAGGAAGTTCCTGAAACCATTTTTCTTGTGTTGCTTCTCCCCACAGGCAGCTTTCAGAGCCCTGAAGCTGACTCTCCAGCTGGTAGCTTCTCTCCACGACATTGTGGCCTACCTTTTCAGTTTTGCCAAACTTGGTGATTGCCCAGCATGCTTCGACGCTCCTCTAAGCCCTCACCCTGTGAGGAGTGACTGGGGAGGCGCCGAGGGTATTGGTAAGTAACTAGCAGCCATGGTGAGAATCCCCAGACCTGTTCAGTGGCCATTCTAAGAAGCTGTAAATATTGGAAACCTGGGACTGTGTCTCCTCGTGACAATCGGAAGGACTCAGGAAAAGTCCTGTTGCACACTGCCTGCTGATCGGTTCCATGTTCTTAGGCTCACCAGAAAGTCAGGAGTCCAGAGACCCAGCTTGGACCCTGCCTTTGCCACTTTACTCCCTGCATCTCTGCCCATCCATAAAGTGGGGTAGGGTCTCAGAGAGCTCTCCTCTGGATTGAAGTCTATGTAAGGATGCTTACGGCCACTCTAAAGATTGTTTTCATTCCCTTTTCCCTCCTCTTCTTCGTGACCCACGTGACAAGGTCCTACCCAAGCACCCATGGTGAAGACGCTGATAGTCCTGATAACCCATATGACAAGGTCATACCCAAGCATCACTGTGAGGTCACTGATTGTCCTGATAACTCCCATGACAAGGTCCTACCCAAGCATTCACTGTGAGGACACTGATAGTCCTCATAACTCCATGACAAGGTCCTACTCAAGCATCCACGGTGAGGACACTGATTGTCCTGATAACCCACATGACAAGGTCATACCCAAGCATCACTGTGAGGACACTGATTATCCTGATAACCCCCATGACAAGGTCCTACTCAAGCACCCACGGTGAAGACACTGATAGTCCTCATAACCCCCATGACAAGGTCCTACTCAAGCACCCATGGTGAAGACACTGATAGCCTGATAGCTCAGAACCACCTGACTGATAAGAACTCGGGAGGCTTTCATTTCTGTTCTAATCAGCAAAGGGGCATTAGGTCATAAGATGGTTTCTCAATGTGTCTAGTAGTGATAAGATACGACGCAACAGAGGCCAGAGAGACGGGTCTGTCTGTAAAGGGCTTGCCCTGAAGCATGAAGACTTGAGACCCACGTTAAAAAAAGCTTGTGTTCCGAGTGCAGGGGAGACACAGACAGGTGGGTCTCGGGGCTCCTTGGCCATCCTATCCGGCCCAATCGGAGAACAGCAGGGCAGTGAGAAACCTGTTTGAAAAGTAAGATAGATGGAACTGGAGGAACACCATCCAACTTGACCTGTGGCCCAGGTTCACATACAGTTGTACCCACATGGACACGCTAACACACATACCTCACGTGTGTGTGTGTGTGTGTGTGTATGTGTGTGAAAGAGAGAGTTGTGTGTGTGTGAGTGTGTGTGTGAGAGAGAGAGAGAGAAAGTGTGTGTGTGAGTGTGTGTGTGTGTTAGGGGTGTGAGGGGTATGGTACATGTATGTGGTGCCCTTCGAAGCCACGAGAGGGTGTCAGATCCCCGGAACTGGAGTTACAGGTACTTGTAGAGAGCACATGAGTGCTGGGAACTGAACTCAGGTCCTCCAGAGGAGCAGTGAACATTCTTAGCTCCCCCGCTCAACAAAAGAATCTTCTACAAAGTAGATAGGACTTATTGGAAGCAGAGACTGATTTCATTCTAGTCATTTGCCTTGTACTCAATTAAGCTACCAGCTATGTGGGTACTGACCAATTAAAATCAAGTCCTGTAACATAGTCGCCAGGAATTTTAGAAAGTGAGATGAACCTAAGGCATGAGGTGATTAGCCTGTTTAGATCGATTAGTTTTAAAAACAAGTGTGAGATGATCTGAGTCTGTCCCCTTCCAGCTGTGACTCAAAGGGAATGTGTTTGAAAGGGACCCTGGAGCTGGTGGCTAGTAGACCTGCATCATGCTAATGCACACAGGCGAAATCTGGATATTCTAATTCAGGGCACAGGGAAGGGCGTCATGGTGATGTAGGAGGGTGCCGACTGTCTGGCTGAGGTGAAGACACAGGAGAAGCTGATGTTGGCATTGACTCATCAAGAAGTTTGGAACTGTCTCAGGCTAATGATCTCAACTGGGGACACCCCAAGTCTTAAAGGCGCCACGCAACCCAAGATTAAAGCCACACCCAAGTGCCCTTCCTAATATAGGGGCTCTTGGGATTTATTCAGAACATGCTACGCTGCATACTCTTGGTGGTGGTGATGGGGGGGGGGTCTGGAAAACTGTGGGTGCTTGGTTTCAGAGGGTCAGGAGAAAAGAGGTTGGGCCATGAAAAATGTCCATCCTGTTGCTAGAGTCTGAGACAGCCAGAGCCACGTTTCCAATTGACTGCTGCCCAGGGAGTCCCTCCTGTAGCTGGGGCCAAGAGTGCCAATTGCCCTAACCAACTCAGTGGAGAAAACAGGGAGGGTCCTCCCAGCCAGACAAGAAAGAGACACTGGCCTAGGCCGTCAGCCCATCATCGTGCCGCTGAGGGTCCGTGGAGATGGGGAGGTCACCGAGGACCTAGAGTTCAGAACGAAGGAATTCGTGTCCTTGCTGCTGGTGGACCACAAACCTGGAGCTCACGGAGCTGTGCGGAACTCATGGAGCTGTGCGGAGCTCGGGTTTTCTGAGGTGTCATTTAGAGACTGCACACTTCGCTTATTGCAAGTAAAGGGGAAAAATGTGCTCAGGGGAATATATGCAAAGTTTTGCATGCTCTGATTTGCTGAAAATAAATGAAGAGCAAATTAAGTGAAAAAGGACAAAAATTCCACAAAGATTCGTCTTCCTAAGAGGCTTCTGGGCTGCATAGCTCCTGCCCAGACCCCAGAGGAGGCAGGAGAACCAAGGTGTGAGAGGGAATTCCAGTGGAGGTAGATAAAATGACTTCCGTGGACTTCCACACTTGAAAGTATTTTTTAAAGGGTACTTGGATAAGGGCTTATGGTCCTCCCCGGTGACCAAAGGAAGACATCCTGACAAACTGGGAGCTTCTGTGGACCCTGCCAAATTCTTTCCTTTCTCAACAAGCAGCCATTCCCTTTGGAGTCAGTGTCAAGCATGGGAGCAAAGTGGGGGGAGGGGTTACCCTGAATTTTCTTTGCCAAAGATCAAAGGGCCCATTAGAGCCCAAACACAGTTAATATACTCTCCCTCTCTGTTCTCCCCCTCCATTGTGAGTGTGTGGAGGGGGCGGAGAGGGAGGAGACTCACCACGCAGAACCCTCCTCTGGAGAAAAGACAAACTTCCTTTCCTTTCCCGATGTTTCTTGGGTCCTCTGCCACCTTCCACTCCACCCGCATCCCCAGGCTGCTCTCCCCGCCCACACCTGCCACGTCCTCTTCCCGGGCATCCAGTCCCTGCTGAAGAAGGAAACAATGAAGTCAGTAGGGGGCAGAGGGAGGAACTTGCACCAGGACAGCCGCACAGTAGCCAGCTGCATCTCAACACACAGCTACGCTCACACAGACCCGCCTGCCTCTGCCTCCCAAGTGCTGGGATCGAGGGTGTGGTGCTGCGTGCTCGCCAGCACACCTGGCTTCATTTGTGTTTTAGTCTGTGACGTTTTAATTGTGTCCTAAAAAGTAATAGATTTTCCTTTCCCCTTAGATGTCACACGTATGCTCTTCCTCCTCTCCTGAAGGTCTCTTTTTCCTTTTCTCATGATCCCCTTTCCAGTTTGCTGACCTGGACCCACACTCACGTATGTACACACACCCACTATATACATACATACATATATACATAAGTAACATGAAACTCAAAAAGTCGTATTAATAAAAACAAACCCGGAGCCAGGTATTGGGGTGAGCACTGAAAGATCAGAGAAACAGAACCAGCCACAGCTAACCTCACCTCACCAACTCCTCAGCTGATCTTGTTTCCTCAGACTGGAAGTCTCTGAGTCCTCATCCAAATGGATCTCAGCTGAACTGCTGCTAAAAGTCTAAAAGCTTAAAAAGCCTCTAGTTCCTGGTCCTCACGCCTTATATACCTTTCTGCTTCCTGCCATCACTTCCTGGGATTAAAGGTGTGTGTCACCATGCCCGCCTGTTTCCAGTGTGGCTTTGAACTCACAGAGATCCAGACGGATTTCTGCCTCCGGAATGCTAGGATTAAAAGCGTGTGCTACCACTGCCTAAACCTATGTTTAATATAGTGGCTGTTCTGTTCTCTGACCCCTAGATAGGTTATTGGGGTGCACAATATATCAACCACATATATACATATATATGTATATATATGTGCTTTGCATATGAGAGAGGTCACGTGATATTTGTCTTTCTGAGTCTGGGTCACCTCAGCTAATGTAGTAATTTCTGGATCCATCTGTTTTTTCCAATTTCATATTTCTCCACAACTGAATAAAATGGTGTATATCTACCACGTTTTCGTTATCTGCACACCTATTGTAGACAGCTGGTCTACAATATACATCCTGCTATTGTGAGCAGGGCATCAATCAGCATGATTTCCAAGTCTCTGTAGCAGCGTACAGAGTTCTTTGGGTCCATCTTCAGGAGCCATACAACTGGGTCACAGGGTAATCCTATGTTCAGCGTTTTGAGAACCTTCATCCTGATGTGTACAGCGGCTTTCCCGGTCCACCAGCAGTGAATAGGATTTCTTCTCCCCCGGATCTCACCAGAATTTGCTTTCTCAGTGTTGGCGATTCTGACTAGGGTGAGATGGATTCTTAGTCTAGTTTAACTTGCATTTCCCTGGTGGCTAAGGATGCTGAATATCATTTTAAAAACTACTTATGACCATTTCAGAACTGTGTTCAGTCCAGTCACTGGTCTATTAATTGGCAGTGGATTTTCTCAGTGTTTAATTTTTGCAGTTTCTATATTCTGAAGTGCGGCTGGTAAAGACTTTCTACCTTCTGTGGGCTGTTTGCTTTGCCGACGGCTCCCTTTGCCGGGCAGGTTCTTCATATCGTATAATTGTCAATTCTGTGGATATTCTCTGTGCTGTTGGAGTCCTGTTCAGCCCTTGCCTGTACTTATGGCCCAGCGTCCTCTGGCAGTTCCAGTATTACAGGTTTTTAATTCCAGCCTCTGACCGTGTTTAGTTGATTCTCGTCCACACACAAGTGTTTTGATGACGAGCAGAGGAGTAGAGGCAGTACAACAACGGACATAAGCAAATGAGAAAATCATCGCGACCCAAACACCCGAGTGTGCTGGTCTTATTTACCTTCCCTCCCTGGTTCTCTGAGCCCAAATACTTTAATCCTAGGGTATAGGGAGTTTTATATTTTCCTTTTTTACATGCTACCACAGAGGACTAAACACTTTTGCTTGGTTGCCACTTGCCTGAGGATGTGTTGCTTGTAGACCAAAACCACATGCCACGAGCAAATGACATTCAGTGGTCACCCCTTTTCCTGCTGTGCACCCCAAAAGTTCTGCTGTTTATGTTACGGCTACTTCCCTTTCAGTGGGAACTTCTTTGTAGCACAATGGAGCCATCATATTTAGAGGACTCATTTAAGAAATATGATTGGACCCTATTATTGATTGGGAAAACCCCCAACTATCTGTCTGTCATGTGTAAAACAGTAAATGGTTACCGAGTCTGGATTAGTCATCTTTCCTAAAGTCACATGAAAATGTTGCAAGCATTGGCAGCCCTTCTCAAACCTGGAACCACCCCACTCAGACTCTCACAGACAGCTTCCCTGTTCGTTCCCACAGTCCTCTGCTTTCCTAGTGTGTAAATGCTGAGGAGGTCTAGCACTGGCCAGGTAGGAGGAAGGCTGCTTGGGTTGGGAGTAGCCACCCAGAGAGAGCAACCACATCAACGCCCTTGAGTGACGCCTGTCTTGACTGCCTGTGGGGGAGCAGTGGCCATGCTTCACAGCCGTCCCCATCACAGGAAGCTGACAGACCTCCTTGGATAGGCTGATAGTCAGTGAGCCCTGAACACACAGGCCTGCCGTGCTCCCTAAGTGTTGGTTTTGGCTGAGATCTCCTATTTCATCTGACTTATTCCCACCTCGAGCCAACGGCCCGAGTCCATGTGCAGGCCGGGTTCCTCAACCCTGCCTGAGTGCTCCGAAAAGCTCCCATTTCCAGTTTCATCTCGAGGTTGAGGGCACTCATTATATGGATCCTTCTCTTGTAGTAAAGGTTCCAAGAAATAAGCAAAGTCCCTAAAATGACTAGAATCTCCTAGAAGCTTATGCATGAACACACATGCACATGTATGTGTGTGTGCATGTATGTATACATGCCATCTTTTTAGTGGCTCTCTAGTTCTTGAGTCTTTCAGTCCACACACTGGTGACAAAGAAAGGCTGATTCCAATGGCAAAATAATGAAAATGAGTGGGGACTGGAGAGATGGCTCAGCAGTTAAGAACACTGACTGCTCTTCTAGAGGACCAGGGTTCAATTCCCAGCACCCACATGGCAGCTAACAACTGTCTGTAACTCCAAGATCTGATACCCTCACACAGACATACATACAGGCAAAAATATCAAGGTACATAAAACAAGAATATATATATATATATATATATATATATATATATATATATATATATACACACACACACACACACACACATACACACACACACACACACACACACACACACACACACACACACACACAGTGAATGTGGTCTGTAGCTGACGGTAACTTCAAGTCCTTGTGGGTATCCTGAGGACTTGCCCATCCCATGTCATTTCTATTTCATTCTATTTTGAGACCATGGCTTGGCAGATTGAAAACTTTCAACAGTATGAACATACTGTGCTAAAGTGCAGGGTGTGGGGGGTGGTGTGGTGTGTGTGTCTATCTTCCAGAGGAAGGAAAGAAGCTAAATCAGACCTTGGTTTCTAGAGCTGCTGGTCTTGCAAAACATATAATTAGCACATCCACAAACAAAGGAAGTCCGTTTGGGTGACAAGTTAGCTCTGGAGGTGAAAGGCAGGTCTGATGTGTTGGCTATGGCAGCCTGTATTTCACACTGTCTGACTCCAGGGTTTCTCACATTCTAGGGTCTGAGCTTCAAGAACTGCAGAAAATGATTGACAGTCTCCAGAGGCCCCAGGACCCGAGCCAGGTGGCCCAGGCCCTCCTCCTCCGAAGGGAGGTGACGTGGCTTCAGTTTGATGCCGCAATGAGACATCTCCTCCGGTAAGGGCGGCAGAGCTGCCGTTGCTGCCAGGGAGAGTCTGCTGAGCAGGTGCTTGCTGAGGCCCCGTTCAGGGAGGCCGCAGTTAGCAAGATTAGATAAGGAGCCTAAAATAGGCTACAGACAGATCCAGCAGGATGGCTGGCTTCCAAATGGTTCCTGCAAAGCCTGTCTGTGTGGAATCTGCCCCAGTATTCCTGAGGTTTTTAAAGACCATTTCCAAACAGTCTGTGTAACAATTGCTACTTTTAGTATTGAGTTTGTATTGTAGGGAGTCCAACTTTTGTACTTCTGAAGATCATTATTCTGAAAAGTTAATTTTGCCTTTTCAGCTCTGCCTTTCAAAGGGACAACTTTCACCGTTCACTTGAAGCTCAGAGAACTAGCTTCAGGGATTGATTTTTAAGTAAATCTACCTTGATCTTGTAGGAACCATCTCCTCAAGTATTCTGCTTACAAAAGTTTTATTTGCCTGATTTATTGTGATTCTGTTGGATTTGAGTTGAGTTTGGACTAATATTCATGTTTCCAGAAAATGTTTTATATGAGAAAGAAAATGAGTCGGGCCTGAGCACCCCTGGGTTTGGGGGGGGGGGGTGCGGAGGTGCTTGCTGTTTTTAATTAGAGCAAAGGGCAGCAAGAACAAAACCCTAGTATCTTGCTATGCAGCTCAGGAAATCCTGAAACTTACTATATAGCCAAAGCAGGCCTTGAACTTGCAATCTTTCTGTCTTAGCCTCCTGAGTGGCCCAACTATTTCTCCAGCCCAACTCTGATTATTCTCTTGTTTTGTCTGAAAACAAAGTCTTATTTGTAGCCCTTGTTGGTCTGGAATGTGCTTTGTAAACCAGGCCAGCCTTGAACTTGGACCAGTCTTCCAGGGCTAGGATTACAGTCATGAGCCACCTCCCCGACTCCGGCCCCAACCCAGCAGCAGTTATTCTTAAATTACCAAAATTTACCAACTTCTTCCAATCCATCTCCAGTGTGAGTAGTCAGCCAAACAGGACTCCAAAGGGCTGGGCTGGGCCAGAGAATTACAAGTGTTTCCCACCTTTAGCATAAAGCATCCGTAGAGAACAGAGTTGTGGGATTATACTGAATGAACATGTTTTTCTACTTTGCATTTGCTTTTTTCTGCCAACGATTCCTGGATTTAGACTATAAATTTAGCAGTGCAGGACTTCCTGTTGACTTTTTTACTTTTCATTGACAAACAGCTTCGGGGCTGTAGCCTAGTTGAGCTTGTCAGCCGTGAAGGCTGTGCACGTCAAGATGGCCGCTGAGTACGGCACTGAGTTGACCTCTGAACTCTGAAAGCCTAAAAGGGTTTGTCTGTTTGTTTGTGCCTTTTCATTTTGGTTTGCTTTGCCATTTGTTTTTGTTTTAGAGACAGGTTTTACTCTAACCTGGGTTCTTCTGGAACTTCCACAAAGCTTAGCCTTCCAAATACCAAGATTACAGGCATGAGCCTCCATGTCTTTCAGGCCCAAGATAGAAATCATAAGAAATTTGTGGAGGAACAGGATCATCCTCCACACATCCTGTATGGTTCCAGCCATCCAGGGCTCTGTCTAGGGAAACCGCTCTGCTTCTCCACACGTGTGTTGTTCTGCACTGTGTGGCCAGGACAGTGGGGACAAAGTGTCTGGTGCCTGCATTCTAGGTCTTTCTCAGAGGAAACCACCCAGGAGGCACACCTGGCATTCTTTATTTGGTCCGTCTTCCTGGTCTTTTTTTTTTCTCCCCATAGACTTCCTGCTGAGTGCGTGTGGAATTTACACACTAGAATCAGAGCCTTAGGAGGGTTAGCTTCAAAACCTGTGAACTGTGGTAGTTCCTGGGCAGCGGCATGGTCAAGAAGGGGACTCAGAAGGGATAAAGAAAGGCGGACAGAGCAATGTTACCCTCTCCATCATCTGAGGTAGTGCTGAAAGTGTCTAGATCTTCAGGAGACAGGACCCGGGTAAAGTTCCTTGGACCAGCTCAGATTGTACCTGAGCAAGCAGGGCTCTTTGACCCAGGGAAAGATCTGCTCCTGGATGGTAAAGGCTCCTCCTGAGTTTGCAAAGGAGGTTGTAGACTCTTTCCTGGAATGAGGGGAGCATGCTTCCAAAGACTCGGTGAAACAGGAGGGGTACAGGACAATGGCCCTGTAAAGCTGCCCATCACCACCCTCTTACCCACATAACAGAGACACAGAGATGGGGTTGCCTGACGTATTTCACACTACCCTTCCCACCTGCCCTGGAGGGCAGTAGGGAAAAGCTTGGTGAAAATCTGTGGCTGTCCCCTAACAGGTCAGAGTCATACTGTCTAGGCCCAACATTTACCTCTGTCCATTGAGGATTTATCAAACTCCTGGTCCATGATGTGACTGAGCGTCAAATTTATCTGTAGTGCTAGGTAAGGCAAGCATTTTCCTTGAGTGTGAATGGTTGAATTGAAGGGGTGTTTCAGGCCAGTCATGTCCCTGTAACTCAGGAGATGGCAGACTCTGCTACTGGCATATGCCTGTCTTTGTGTAGCCCCTGGCTAAGGGTATGGACTTCACATGTTTAAATTGCTGGGGGAAATCAATAGAAAATAGTATTTAGTGACATATGAAAATTACATGGTAGTGCCTGCCTTTAATCCCAGCACTCAGGCGGCAGAAGCGAGTGGATCTCTCTGAGTTCAAGGTCAGCCTGGTTCGCATAGTGAGTTCCAGGCTAACCAAGACTATACAGTGAGACCTTGTTTCAAAATAAAGCAAACAAACATCCCCCCTCCAAAAAAAAAAAAAAACCATGAATTTCTTATTTCAGTATCCACAAATAAAGTTTTTCTTAAGAAATCCAGGCCTGTTATTTAGTTATTTTTGTTTATTTTTATTTTGGTTTTTAGACAAGTCCTTACTCTGTAGCCCAGGCGTCCATCAAACTCCCGATCATCACAAGCACTAGGTTTACACACGTGCCCTCATGCCCAGCTCGGGCCCATTTACTTGTGGAGTAACCACTCCAGCCCCGGGATGGGATAGGATCTATACAGCCATGGATAATAACCATTTGGCTCAAAAGTTTGCCGTCCTCTGAGCTCCAAAACAGAACTCCTTTGCAGTTTGGGTGTGGAGCAGGGAGAAGTCCTTCAGAGGTACCCTGTAAAACAGGATGGAACAGTCATGTACTGTTGCCACTCGGGGTGACTGGGAGGAGAAATGGAAAGATGTCCGAGGATGTGCCGACTCCAAGCCTCCTTTAGGAGCTCCAGTGCACACGCATGGAGCAGCGTCGGCTTCTGGCTCCTCTTCTTTAGTTTTGCTTCATTTTAAAGTTTAGTCTGATTTTTATGCTGGTCTGGTTTAAGTGCTTCTAATCATTCAGATGTCACCATGCGACTTAAGACCATCTGGGAGTTTCACGGGACACGGGCTGGGCGCAAGGCCATGGCCCCAGTCTCTAGCATTGGAGAAGCGCAGAGCCTTAACTGTGCCCTGCCTGCCAAGGCAGGTTTTGTCATATTCTGGCCTCGAGGGAAGAGCTCCAGTGCACATCCTCAGTGTCCATCACTCTCTGAGGTCCTGGTCTAAAGCAGCTTGCCCGGTATCCGGCTACTGGCAGCCCTCTCCCCTGAGGTGGGGTAGGCCTCCTAGGAGCCTCCAGCCGTGTGTTGATACAGAAGCATACAGGGTGCGGCAGGAATGTTTGAAGAGTTGGATGTTGTATTGGGCTGCAGAGAGACTTGTTTTTATGATTTATTGGCAGGTGGTAAGTGCCCAAGTCATATATGGGTTCTGGGGGTGGAACTCAGCTCTCCAGGCTAAGACCCATTGAGCCTTCTCATTGGTTCCCGCCATGGCGTCTTGAGTGTGTTCATAAGCTGTGCTGGGCAGATTCTGATTGAGGGTCGCCAAGTGGCCAGGCCCTGCCCCTCAAGATGCAGGCAGCCAAGCTTTGCTCTACAGAGACAGAGAACCTAAGATCAGACCATAAAATCCCACCAAACCCAGGCCACCCTGGAAAGCTCTGCCGCCACCTCCCACCCCAAGAAACCCTCTCTAAAGCCTGTCTCCTGCTCGGTTCTCTGCCGCTTCTCTCCCAGCAGAGGCAGCCACACTCCTGTGACTCTCAATAGATCTCTCACGTAAGGTTTGTGTGTGGTGTGACTTTGTGGTACTCCTTGGCTCCCGACTGCCAGGATACCTTTCCCCTCAGAACTGTAACGCTTACAGAGGGGTTCGGCCAGGCTTTGCCAACAGAGGGCCTGAGTGACTTGTCACAGGGAGGCCAGTCCATTTCAGCATTTCCAAAGTCACAATGCAGCACACGCCCATATATTTGCCTAAAGGAATGTAACTAAAGAAAACGTCATGTTCTCTCTCTCTCTCTCTTTTTATTTCATTTTTTATTTTTTGCTCTTTCTTCTTTATTTTTCCCCCTCTTTTTATTTTGTTTGTTTGTTTGTTTGAACCGGAGCCTTAAAAACAGGATGAGATGAGGGAGGGTGGGGGCTTAGCTTTGGTTGGGTCACTGCTGTGTGCCAAGTCTGTGGGCTACGTGTGATTTTTACTCCCTTTACAGAAAAGGAAAGAGAAATACAGAGGTGTTTTGTAACTCGATCGGGGACACATGGGCTGTTATGGCAGAGTTTGTGCTCACACATCCTACCTGATCCCACAGCTCTTGTCCCTTCCTGCAGTTCAGGGTTAGATGTCGTGGTAAACTTTCTTTAAAAATAGGAAAATTCATCTGGTGTGGTGGCACACTCCTTTAATCCCAGCACTCGGGAAGCAGAGGCAGGTGGATCTCTGTGTGTTCGAGGCTAGTCTGGTCTAAGAGCATTTCCAGGACAGCCAGGGTAAAACAGTGAGACCTTGCCTCAGGGGAAAAAAGGGGGGAGGGAGGGGGATGCTAGTCAGATGTGGTTGCACATTCTTGTAATTTCAGAAGTCTGAGGGAGGACAGATGCTATGAATTTGAGGCCAGCCTGGGCTACATAGTGAATACCAGGATAGACAAAG